CCTTCTTTGCTGATTATGCTGAAGCTCACTTGAAGCTCTCTGAGCTAGGGTAAACCCATTTCTCATTTCAATTGTAAATATGATTCTCAGCATTTACCTCTGCAAATTATGTTGATTGCATATTTCCTGCCCTGCAGGTTTGCTGATGCATAAACTGTTTGAAGCAGAAAGGGGTGATGCCAGCTACCTTTTGCTCTTATTATCTCCGTTTTGTAATTTGTGGCAGCCCACAGGCCACAGTTGTTGGTTAATGAGATGAGATATGTGGAGATTTAGTTGGTTATCATCCTTTGGATTTAAATAATTAAGATTTCTTTGTAATGGACTAGATGTTTTGTTTCCTTGCACTGCTGAATGTTTATTTTAAGTGAATGACGATGATATTCGGATCAACTTACTATCTTAAAAACAATCCTTCTCTGCTTGTGCTGCAATCTTAAATGCTTTGAGGCTGGCAAGTCTGTTATACTTCATAACGGGAAACCCGCAAAACTGTTATATGGTATGTCTGGATTTAGGAGAATAGTGGGAAAGGAAGGGAAGAGATTTTTAATTAATCAATAACTAATTAAATTATAATATTTTTAACATATTGTTTGGATTGGAGGTATCAAACAAAGAGGGAGGGGAAGGGATGGGGACGGATGATAAGGGAGGGGGAGTGAGGGGAGGTTGTTCCCTTTCTCTTATTTGTGTTTTCAAAGAGGCAAAAGTGAGAGAGATCGATGGATTTGGACTCCCTTTAATTACTCTCAACTTTGCAGATTTGCAATTTTCTTGATTTGGGGAGTTTGGGAGGAATTTCAAGGGCTGTTTAGATTAATTACATAGTTAACTTTTTCATCTATTATTATAAATTGTCTTTCTCTTTTTTGCAAATTAATTAAAGGGTAAATTTATAAATTTAAAATTAATTTAAATCCTTCTTTTTTTTTTTTATCTTAATTATCAAAACCAAAGTTGTCAATACCGTACCGGTATACGTACCGGTTTTGCTACTGAAACGGTACGTACCGGATATCGGAATTTTTCGCCTACCGTTTCGGATTTATCGCTATAAATATATATTTTTATAAATTAAATATCAAAATTTAAAATAATTATAAAAGAAATTAACATAAGAACAAGATTTGAGAAAACCCCCTAGTATGAGCTTATCACAATATAAGCATTTAGTCTGATTCCTTCTGCCTGGGACAATCAAACAATGAGCCCAAGCAGGATCACCTGTTTTAGAAGGAGTGGATCCAATAGAGTCTCCTGTGCCATTGCCAGAACCACTAGTATTCATGATATCCTACAAACAGAAAAATAACAATTGTTTCATAAATTGCAGCAATCAACCACACCATGTGAGCCTAATGATTTAACAAACTAACAATTGCACAATTTCATAGATTTATTATGGGAGCAACTTGACAAAGCAGTACTGTTTTTATTCACACCAAATTGCAAATCAATCGCACCAAAATTCAAAAGGAAAGATATTCACTATTTCAATTAGTAATGAAATTGACAAAGAAAAATAAAAACCGAGAGAAGCGAGAGGAAATCATGCAAGATACCTGAGACGGAGCTAGGCTGCTGGAGACAGAGCTGGGCTGCTGGAGACAGAGCTGGGCTGCTGGACACGGAGCTAGGCTGCTGGAGATGGAGTCGGGTTGCTGGAGACGGAGTTGGGCTGCTGGACACGGAGCTAGGCTGCTGGAGACGGAGTTGGGTTGCTGGAGACAGAGCTGGGTTGCTGGACACGAAGCTCGGCTGCTGGGGACGGAGCTTGGCTATTGGAGATGAAGCTCGGTTGCTGGAGACGGGTGAACGGAGCTCGGCTACTGGAGATGAAGCTCGGTTGCTAGAGACGGGTGAAGAGAAACAAGATGCAAGATCTAGCCCTGCACCACCGGTTCACCAAGTCCAAGATCTAGGGCGCCGACTCACAAAACAGGAAGGAGGAGGAGCAGCAGTTGCACACCCTGCACCACCGGTGAAGAGGGTCAGATCGGAGGGCAAGGCTATGTTCGCAAAGTATGCTCGATCTGAAATTGCATATTTGTAGGGAAGGATTAAAACTTAAAAGACCTTGACCAAAACGACGTTGTTTTGGGTAAGGAAATCCTTTTTTTTTTTTGGGAGCATGAAGTGTACTGACCGAAATTTTGTGTACCGGCCGGTACATGAAATTTCGACCGGTATACCGAATTTTGACATAAACGATTAGATTTTGACCGAAACAAAATTTAATGTTGTACCGTTTCGGTCAAGTGTCAAAATCGGTACGTACCGACCTTACCGGCCGGTACGGTACGAGATTGACAACTTTGATCAAAACACAAAAAATACGATCCTTCTCTTTTCTTCCTCTTTTTCATTTTTATTTATCCAAACAAAATTAACAAAAATTATTTTCTTCTATTTTCTTCTCTTCCCTTCCCTTTCCTTTTCTTCCCCTCCGTTTCCATTTATTTTCCCCCGTCCATCTCCCTTTACTTCCCTTTGCTATTTTCTATCCAAACAGTATATAAATGTTATAATTTAATTAATCAAAAAAATTCATTTTACTTCCCTCTGTTTCCTTTCAAATCAAACATGATGTCAGCCACTTAGCCCTCATATTTGCCAACTAAATGGTGGCAGTAACGTCGTTGCCGCGTTTGGCAGTTCGTATTTTTTTGACATGGACATGACAGAGGATACGAATGGACCAAACTGTCCAAACTGGTAGGCTCGAACTGTGGATATTTCGTCAAAGCATTTGCGTGAGCGTGTGGGAAGAGGGACAACGCCATGGTTCTTGTCCTCTTCCTTTACTTCTCGGATCTCGTCCATTGGTTTATCACCCCACGTTCTTTGGTTCTACATTTGAAAAACGTTTTCATCTCGTTACCGTGTCATGACTCGGCCTTCCCTTAACCATTGTCGTTGTTTTTATGTGCCTAGTTCCAGTAAAGTTTTTTCTCACGAGGTTTTTGTGAGGTAAGGATGACAAAACACCAGCGCAAGCAATAAAGAACAACCAAAAGTTGAAATTTCAAAGGGATCCAAATAATGAATATAATTGAGAGAAACAACTGAAATGATATTTTTGTTCTGGAAAATGAAAACAAACATAAACTTATCTTATAATTAAATCTTACAATTTAACCAGCTAACACGTATAATTGACTCCATAATCCGCAATCTCTCGATAAATTTGACTAAAAGCTT